GTGTTGTACATTTCAAAATAAAATTCTACAGCTGATCCAGATTAAAATAAATTCTGTTCATGATTCAGCACAGCATTCACATTTCTACATCTGTGTGCTCTGCTTTACTGAATGATCAAGGACCGAGTCAGACTGTTCAAAACAACCTCACATCGGGGGGTTACAAATGCACAGCGCGATAGATGCAAAACGCCCAGACTTTTACCAGTGGGTGGAGAAAAAGCAAATCAGACTGTCGTTGACGATTTGCATAAACATTTACATCCCTCCGTGTGTGTGTGTGTGTGTTGTGAAATGATGGGGGATACAGTACAGCGTAAACTGGATTGCTTTGTTTGTGTGGTAGATAAATCCTCAGCCTCAGCAGCTGACCTCCACTTTGGCCTTCACATTTCTCTAACACAACACATCATGGCTGCTTAAGTTTCATTCCTCATTTAATACCATGTAGAGTAAAGCTAAAACATTATTCATTTTGATAATTGTTTTTTGTGGAATTCGAAAGTCTGAATTTTCCTGCTTTCGTGTGCACGTATGATAGATTTCTTCACAGTTTCCATGTAACCACCAGAAATGAGGCTACAATTTTTACTGAAATTTAAATGTATGTTTTTTGAGTAATAAGCAATGTTGGTGAAATCTCTTTGTGCATGTGTTTGCTCCTTTGGCCCTGAGGTTAGTGGATAATGGACATCACAGAGGACAGACAAGCAGACAGAAGAACATCTGTTGGCAGATAACTCAAATATTCCACTCCATCGCTGTGACAGTTAATCTAGTGTTAGAAGTGATCTCATGCACAAAACAGCTAGTAGTACTCACAGTGCACTTAATAATTATGAAGTATTTTCTAGAAACCCTGGAAGAGCGTCTCTCCAAGTTGAAGGTGAAGGTTTTGTTGTATAACAACACATGTGTGTTTTTTAGATCGCAGCAGACGTTCGAACCGCCAAGCGAGAGCTGAAGAAGGCTCGGACCGTCCTGCAGATGGACAAGCTGAAGTGCAGGAAGAGAGTTCTGCGACGCCTCGGCTTCGCCAGCCCCTCTGATGTCATCGAGATGAAAGGGCGGGTTGCCTGTGAAATTAGCAGGTAGGGAAGGATAGAGCACGCACCCAGCAAACAATTTGTGTAAATATAGATATAATATAGCTGCTTAACTTTTGTTGTATTCTGAAGTGACAAATAAGTCTTTTAGGGCAGTTTAATATTAAATGGAGATTTAGGAAAGTAAAATTGATTTAATGGAGCAAAGGGTTGTGGCTCCAAAGTCTGTTCGTTGTTGCGAGGTGCCACCGCAGTAATGGCGGTTTTTCTACTTCCATCTGCAGCCCAGATTTGTCTATTGATGAGACGGACAGTGAATCTGGATGGTGAAATGTTGCATGGATTGTGGTTTAGGGTGTAGTTAAGTGTGAGTCCTGCCAGGCCTGAAGCATGAGGGTACATCTGCTCTCGCCTATCCTTACTCACTCCAGCACCCACGCCACAGTTCTGCACAGTTATTACTTGAATAGAACAAGGAAGAAATAAATCAGATCCTGTTTAATAAAGTAATACTGTAATAATTCACTCTGTGTGTGAATCTTTCTAGTGGCGATGAGCTCCTTCTGACGGAGATGATCTTCAACGGCCTCTTCAACGATCTGACGGTTGAACAAGCCACCGCCCTGCTGTCCTGCTTCGTCTTCCAGGAGAATGTACGAACAAATGCACACACAAACACATAATTCCTCCAGTTCTCCATACAAACAGATATTTAAGCCTTCCCCAAACACTGAGATTAAACGGCTGATTCCCCGTTCCCACACATTCAAGCCCCACAAACGCATTCTTGGCCTCCTCCCCTGCGCTGCAACCAAAACAGAAACCTGAGGTTAGTGTGTGTTTGTCTTGCCTAATGAAGCCTGTTCTCTCAATGAGGCAATCCAGGGTCAGATGGTTTGACAAACCTTTTCTTTGGCTCTGCATCCGCTCCGTCCTCAGAACAAGAAATCTCAGTCTGGACTCAATCACAGCTCCCACTCTCGTTATGTCTTACTTGTGTCAGAAAGGAGAGGGAGCAACGACAAGCAGCTGTCATGTGTACCACTACAGGAGCGCTCTGTGTGTGTGTGTGTGTGTGTGTGTACAGCTGTCACCTGTCATTAAAGAGCACCTGCTGTTAGTTTAGCTTGGGATGACGGCAAACCATCCAACTTGTCTTTAAACCACAGATGTATTCTGACATTAAAGTGCTCCCAGGTTCAATCACTTATTCGACAGTGTTAACCATCAGATATTTACTGTTTTAGATAATTGTATACTATTTGACAACATTTAATACTTGAGACAGTTGGCTTTTGTTTAATAGAGGGGGAAAAAAGGCATTTGTAGAAAAATATGTTTTATATTCCTCCAAAGTAAGTTATTAACAGTATAACTTGGTGTCATTCAAATGATATCTGGCTCTAGTTACATATTTGTTTATTGTTTGTTCATTTTTAATGTCGCTACCATGTGACAATTACAGAAATTACTTCTTGTAATAGTTTTTTCCTTCTTTTTTTTTCTATTTATCTTGCTGAGAGTATGAGAAGATCGATATTCTCATATCTGTCCGATCACCATGAAACTACAGTCTGCAAGCCATTTTGCTTAGCTTAGCATGAAGACTTAAAACAGGGAAACGGGTAGCCAAGAAAAAATCCCAGAGCTTGACGAGCTGTTTCACCGTTTCCAGCCTTGTTGCTAAGCTAACCAGCTGCTGGCTGCAGCTTCAGATATGTAGTACAGATATGAGAGTGGTATCGCTTTTTCCATCTTACTCTTGGCAAGAAAGCAAATTAGAACTACTCCTTTTTAGAGAGATGATGAAATTTTGCAAGGACACCAGAGCCTCATTCCCTGTGAAAGCCTTCATCAATGAAATGTTTCGTTTTGCTAATAGTGGGAAGTTAAAGCAAAGGTTAACTACCAGGCAGGTGTTAATGTAGAAAAGGTGATAATTAACGCTGCTGTAGGTAACTTTCAGTGACTAACAATCAAGAAAAAAAATTAGTAGTTTTCTTACCAAATACGAGCAGATCAGATGTTTTAATGTTGAATGTTAAAAACCCCATCTGACCTATACTAAATAGAAACTTATTTTCCTGTAGTTTGAAACCCAGACTACAAAACAAATGTTTGACATTTTCTTTTTGTCCTCCAGGCCAACGAGATGCCAAAACTGACTGAACAGCTTGCAGCTCCGTTGAGACAAATGCAGGTGAGACCACAATAAAACCATCCCCGATTTGTTTCGTTAAAAGTTTGAATTTGTCGAAAATGTGAATGCTGCTGTTGTTTTTGTTATGTCCAGGAGTGTGCGAAGCGCATAGCCAAGGTTTCTGCAGACGCCAAGCTGGAGGTGGACGAGGAGACGTATTTAAACCAGTTTAAGCCCCACCTGATGGATGTAGTGTACGCCTGGGCTAACGGCGCCACATTTGCTCAAATCTGCAAGATGACTGATGTCTTTGAAGGTGCGCCATTCATATTATCCAGCAGACATGACAGGAAGTTAAAATACAGGTGTTGAACTTTCCTTAAATGTACAATGTGTAATATATGGCCAGAAACTTATTTTATCAACAAAATGTTAAAGAAGGTACGACAAGCCTTTAACTGAATCTCGCAGAGGTAGAATGGTGGACAGTAACTAAGTACATTTACTTAAGTACTGTACTACATTCCAGATGGAATTATGGAGTTGTGGAGTTTTGTTTTTAAGTGCTCTTCATGTTACACTTAAATAATCGTTCAAGGACCAAAAGCAAAAGTATCCAATATTTCCCCCCAAAAAGGCTCATTGTTCAAGGATCAAAGAGGTGAAATGATTCATTATTTCCCCCAAAAAACAAAGATTAGAGAGAAGTCTAAAAAATGACTTTAGACAGCAGAACTTTCTTCTTAATGCCTCAATTATCATCTCACTATTTATTTTATGACCCTTTGGAGGGGCTCGACCCCTAGGCTGGGATCCACTTGACTAAACTAGCTAACTGTAAAAAGTAGTTAAAATCAGCTCCACCTCAACCAGCTACGAAGTCAGTGTTGTTTACACATCAGTGCAGCAGTAAGTATCATTTTTCTACAGATGAAGTACTGAAGATGTAGTACAGAAGTACTTCTAATAATTTTTGTACGTTTTGCTGTAAATACTTTTACCCAAGTAAAGGATCTGAATACTTCTTCCACCGCTGCCAAAGTACAATATGGCCTTAACAAATCCAGTGCAGTCACTGGGAGGCTGTTAAAGGATCACTTATTGATTTATTATGTGGGTTGATTAAAACCAAGTTACATCAATTCTCCCCACAGTTTGTGTCTCTGACTCCCAACAATGACCTCAGCTGTAAAATATTAGATGTCATCGTTCTAAGAAAGTAACTGCAGAGTTGAGAAACTTGAGTATGAGATGAAATCGTGTGTTGGTGAAGAGAGAGAGTTTACGGGTTTCATCAATTCTAACTCCTTTATTCATTTAAATTACAGGTCTGTAACTTTCTAATAATGTTCTGGGGATTTTTCTCAAATAGTCATTTTGTCACTTATTAATGGGAGAAATGGAATTTCCTTGAAAGAAATGCTCCATTTTATACCAACGTAAATGTTAATTAATTATTGATTTACTTACCTATTTATTATTGGATACAAAACTCTCCATACATGTTAATTTATGTTTGCCCATTGACAAATTGCACTGACTGAAGACTGTCTAGGCTAGAATCACAGAATTCAGTAATTAGAAGTGTACCACTTTAACACTGTCTGTCTGTTCCTTATTAGTAGTACCAAGTGACATACCATTCTTTGCTAGAAACCCGGAGTGTTCGTCAAGTTCAAGAAATTAGTTGTTACTGAGGATACTAAGATTGATCCATGGCCAAAACCATTCTTCCAAGATGTCCTTATTCAGACGCTCAATGTGAATTAATGCTGGAATTTGGCAGTAAATAGTTTTCAAAAATAGATTTGGGTGTATTTGTGTCTGTGCTGTACAGGGAGCATCATCCGCTGCATGCGCCGTCTGGAAGAGGTACTGAGACAGATGTGTTCTGCAGCCAAGGCCATAGGCAACACGGAGTTGGAGAACAAGTTTGCTGAAGGTAAGAAACCTCAGGGTTATTAGAGCTGAAACAATTAGTAATTCAACAGGAAATTAATTGGCAATCGTTAAGGCCATTTTTTTAATAGCAAAATCACAAATTCACTGCTTTAAACCTCTCAAATGTTTGCTGGTTTCTTAGTCTTCTGTGACACTTAACTGAGTATCTTTGGGTTTTGGACTGTTGGTTGGACGTAACCTTGGACTCTCAGACACCTGGAACATGGTGACTGCCATTATCTGACCTTTTTTCATTATCCAGATGATACATGAACAAATAAAAATAATCGTTAAGATTTTCAGGTTATGCTTGCAACCAACGTAAATTTCTGCTCCACAACCTTAAGTATGTTGTTTGACATGATTCACCCATGTGATTATACGTACAGTTGTTAAGTCTTGAAAATGGACTGGTTATACAAGTAACTACAAGATGTATTTTGGTAAATTCTTCTTACTAGATGAAACACTTCTGAAATGGATGTCCGTTTGGAATTAAACTTCTGATTTGTTGAAGTTAATAATGAATCATTTGCTCTTAATTTCTGTGTCTTCTAGGAATAACGAAGATCAAGAGAGACATTGTATTTGCTGCCAGTCTCTACCTATAATGAGCTACTACTGGAGGATAAATGCTGTTTTTCAGCTTCACTTTAGGATTAAGCCCCGATCATCTTGACTTTTTTTTTGTCACACTGGGATCAAATATTGTGCTATTTAATCCCAACGTGTTAGTTAATTTGTCTTTCAGATCATTTCTGATTCTTTTCATCATGACTACTTACCTGAACGATGTAACGTCCTGTCGAGTCACGTTATTAACGGTGAGAATGTCTAACAATGTAAACATTGTTTCATTTGGGTGAATACATCGACGTGGCCAGAATACATTGAACATTCATGCTTTTATTATGTTTGCTTACATGAGAAAGTGGTGCATAAAATTACATTTATATATATTTGAGAAAGTAAACAACACAATTCATGCTTTAATTCTACGTGACAGCTCATGACATAATATAACACTTATGTTTCATTTGTGGTCATGTTAATAAGTAAAATGGCTTTATTTGTCCTTTATTCCTTCTTATTTTAGACATTTGTACATATTTGTAACATTTTTTTCAATAAACATCTGTATGGAGATTTGTTTTTACATACAGAGGATACAAAAGCACACTGTCGCTTCACTTGAGTTTATTAGTTCTTAGATACACATGGAGCTGTGATAGCAGCAGTCCAGCAAAGGCAACACAGGACTTAAACTGACCGTCTACTCTTCAACTCTCTAACCAAACATGATAAAAGTCGAGCTTCCTCCTCGACTACATTAGGTTAGACAGTTGGAGAATAAGGTGGCAGTGGCCTGGAGTCAGCAGCTCCAGATGTGAAGCAGTGGTTTAGGACCAGCTATAGCCTCCAGCACATTCAAGCCTTGAGAAGCAAACATTCCTCTTATAATTAGCCCTTTAATTAACACTGGACTTAAGGCAACAGTTATGAGACTCAGACGTGTCTCTGGGTGCTGGAGTCGACCTAAAAACTGACCCCATCAGAT